CTCTTGACTCGTAATTTCTCTTTTCAGACTCACCATGCTGCTGATGAGAAATAGTAGTTATTGGGGCTATAAGGCCAAGATTAATGTCTGGCCCTGAAAAACAAAGAAAGCCCACCAACAGGACCGAATGACACATGAAGTTTCTCCACATCTCGTGTTCGATTACTTCCTAGATAAGTGTTTTGGACTAGAGTAGCTGCAAGATAATGAACACTGTCACATGAAGAAACATTTAAGATCACACGAAAGTCTCTGGGTTTGAGCACAGATGCCTTTTGCAGCATAACTGATTACACCACAGAGCATCACTATCTGACTTGTCATCTTAGACATGAAGGTCTGCAGGGCTGGGACAAGTACTGCAAGATCAACAGCGCCTCACGCACCAGGGTCTTGATCTCTCACTGGGGTTTGAGCAACTACTGTAATACAAGTATTACAGCATTCTTCACTTTGTCTCAGTTGGATAGTGTTGTTAGATGGATGCAGCATGTTTCTATCAAGAAATATTTGGCTGCGCTTCTACTGGAGTGAAATGATCCCTGTAAATACATGGACAAATTGTGGTTGGCCCTTGGCTCCACACATCAGAAAACCTTTCTGTCAGCAGCTGCAGTATGGGGTGAAAGTTGGCTGATGCACTAGCAGAACCAGAACGGGAGCAAAGAAAAGGATCTCTGTTAGGAGAGCTGTGGAGAGCCCTGACTCACTAAACGCGGGCAGTTACAGCCTCCCCAGCTGGACTGTTTCTACCCATGGATGTTTTACTTAGCACCTTTCAATAAGATGAAAAGAGGTGGGAGGAAGGACTACCCAGAGTGTGCTTCTTTCTCCTTTTTCACTTTTTCCAGCACAGAAGAACAAGACTGCTTTCACAGAGATCTTTTTCTTTGGTGACATCAATAAAATGTTTAAAGTTCTTTGTCAAAAGTGATTAAAAAGTTGTAAACAACATGGAATAGCTGCCAATACCCTTGAATTAGGAGTGCTCATGCCTACCTGTTTAGCTGGCAGTACTCAAAATGCTTCATAATGCTAAAAGCAAGATGTGTATTTTGGTTATTTATTTGAGGTTGACAAAGTCTCTCAGGCAGAAGGATCCCAGGCTCTCACAGGCTTTCTAACTTCAAGTCAGAAACATGAATTCTTACCACAAAGACTCTGAAGGACCAAACGCCATCTGCATAGCACATGGGATGTATTTGTTCTTCGTGGTTATTGGCTGCTTTTAGCCAAGTCAGCCACCAGCAATTTTTGTGTCCAACCTGAGGAATTGCAACAATCCAAACTAGAAGTTTGGAAAGCTCATCTCACTACAGACAGACTTTCACAAAAGCACATAAACCAAAGCCTCTTCCATTTGCCAAACAAATTATTTCCTCCACCTTGGAAAACTGCATGGGAGGATGAGAGAAGATTCATCATGACACTGAGGCTTCGTACTGCTTTGAGGCTTCCCATCACTTGTTGATGCATGTGCAACAATCAGCTCCTCAGATGAGTTACCTTTTGTCACCAGTGATTCAGGCAGCTGCGTCTTTAGGCCAGGCCAGGAACCCCTCATCGTTTGCTGACTTCATTCGAGGTTCATAGTAAAAGCTAAACCAGTCACATGCAATGAAATATATCACTTCTGAAGGCAGAATGGCAGATTTGGGCATGTCATTCTTGGAGGCAAGCAACAGGAAGCCTTCTCTACCACAGCAGTTTTCACACTGGGACCTCTTCTGAAACACGTCTCCGATGCAACCACGAAAGAGGATAGATGCTCCCAAACTACTGCTTCAAGGCTTAGAAATCAAGTCTTCTCACGCATGAACTTCTGATGATGGTCCCAACAATGAGACCAAGGAATTACATTTAGTTAGATTTTACCAGGAAACCTGCAAAATTTCATTTCAAAGAATACTGCACAAAGAAGCTGCCCCAGAGCCAGAATGCAATGCTGAAACAGTCCTGCCCGAAACTTCATTTCAGCAACAGGGCTTAGTACTTTGCCATGCTCAGAGCTCCAAAACCAAACTCACAAATAGAAACATACCCAGAATGATGAAAAAAAGGAAAAAATAAAGAATTACAATAATAAAAAAAAAGATACAGCAATCAACACTACAGTGTGCATCCAACCCTAAATCATAGAATGGTTTGGGTTGGAAGCGACCTTAAACATCATCTGCCATAGGCAGGGACACCTCACACTAGACTATGTTGCCCAAGGCTCTGTCCAGCCTGGCCTTGAACACTGCCAGGGATGGAGTATTTACCACTTCTCTGGGCATCCTGTGCCAGTGTCTCAGCACCCTCACAATAAAGAACTTCATCCTTAGATCCAACCCAAACTTCCCCTGTTTCAGTTTGAACCCATCACCCCTTGTCCTATTGCTCCAGTCCCTGATGAAGAGTCCCTCTCCAGCATGGTTGTAGCCCCCTTCAGACCCTGGAAGCTGCTCTGAGGTCTCCACGCAGCTTCTCTTCTCCAGGCTGAATAGCCCCAACTTTCTCAGCCTGCCTCCATACCAGAGGTGCTCCAGCCCCTGATCATCCTCGTGGCCTCCTCCGGATACACTGAATATAGTGGAATGGGATAAACCATAGACCTAGATCCTATTCCTAACAGAAGAATCAGCAGTGGACCATTACACAAAAAAAGGGGCACACGCAGGAGCACCCATCTTCTCCTGCTTGGGTATTCAAAATTGCAAACACAGAAACTTGCACTGGATTGCTCAGAACAGATTAGTATTATTCATCTATTGCTATTTTTAAAAGCAAGTTGCTTTCTGCCCTCTTTTTTCTCTCGAATGAGCAGCCTCACTGCTCAGCTTTTCTAATTGGGAGATCTAAAGGCAGGAAATTTCAGGAGTGCCTTGCAGAGAATGGAGGAGATGAAGCGAGTCCCACGGCACCAGCTCTGCTCCTCTCGCCCCACCTCTGCCAGGAAGCACTCCTGCATCCCTGGCAAGCAGCGTGGCTGGCTGCCTCCTCCTGCTCGGCCAAGGGTCCAGGGCACAGCCTTTCCAAACCATTCCCTGGCTGGAGGAGGAAATGAAAGCAAGTCGTTTTCAAGAAAAGCAGATTGGATGGTCCAACCCTTCCACTCCGGGGAGGAAAGTTAAAAAATAAGGAATAAAAAGGAATTGTTCAAGAAGTAAAAATGTAACAGGAAAAAAAGACAAAAGAAAACTGCCTTTTTTTTTTTTTGCATTGCAGAGAAGATCCACAGACTCAAAGCACAGGCAACACATCTTTAAATGATTAAGATAAAGACCGTGGGTAATAGATGAATGCTAGAGACAGAAGGAAGTGAAAGTTTTTAACCACATTAAAATCACAAATTCTTTCCTGCTTCGTAACAGTAATTACAATTAAAAATATTTACACCCTGGTCCCATGTAACTCAGGAACAGAAAAGTACAGAGATTGTAAATCTCTCTTTAGGGAAAACTCTCCAGCCAGTAGAAGACAGGGCCAGTGCTGCCTTCATGCAGGAAATGCACGTACGGAGATGCTCAGCTTTCAACTCCTTCCTCTACTTTTAACCCAAACTAAGTCTAGGAAGCTCTGAAAAAACGTAGAGCCCTGAAGAACTTCATGGGCTTTAGCATGGGAAATGTGGCTGCTTGCTGAGCCCACTGACTACTAGCGATGGCCATGGAAGGACTAGGAGTTGCAGAACAAATAGTGCAGTACAACAAAGCTTGGAGGAGCTCATCTACAGAGCTTCTTGTACAGCTAGCCTCAAAATCACAGTATAACATCATGGCTATCAGATAGGAGATTCATGTTGAATATCTGGTCATTCTCTCAAAGACATCCCTGAAGATACCTGCTAGTTAGCTCCAACTTAGCATTAAGAGAAGTTACTCAATGAGAGTATCAACTCTTACTATTTAAGTACAGCTATTCCTATTTCCAAGGTCCTTATTACTAAGTCCCAGTTACCAGGATGAGTTATGATCCATCATGCCCTCTATGCTATTTTTAACACAAGTGAAATTTCTTTTTAGGTTAAAGTCTCAGACCTCTGGGTGGGGTAAGAACACCTCCACTAACTACTTTGAAACATGGAGTCACCAACTGAGTCAGTAACTTGGAGGTCTCCCACGTCTTGCGCTATTGAACGTGGAAAAGAAACCAAACAACCCTATTTTCCTTTCAAAATTATGGTTTCTGGCAACAGATCTAACCTCACAGCTGGAGTGTCTGGCCCCTCACTTCCCTTAGGGATGAGTTGCCAACTGTATGAGCACTAGATAACCCATCACCACCCACTTCCTGCTCTGCAGTAGGGAGCTGTGGGTGGCACCGCTCCCACCAGCAAAAGGGCAACCAACTCTGTCAGGCCGGGTGCTCTCAACCCCTTCTTTCTCCAGGCAGTATTGATACTGAGGGTATCAGTATCACCCCAGTCTAGGTGCAGGACCCTGCACATGGGCCCACTTCTCAGGCTTCTCCAAGCCCTTCCGGATGACATCCCTTCCCTCCAGCATGTTAACTGCACCATTCAGCTCCATGTCATTGCTGAAGGTGCACTCAATCCCACTATGTCACTGATGAGGATATTAAACAGTACTGGTCCCAGTATGGATCCCTGAGGGATGCCATTTGTCACTGGTGTCCATCCAGACATCAAACCATTGGCCACTATCCTCTGGGTGTGACCATCCAGCCAATTCCACATCCACCTAACAGTCCAACCATCAAATCCATCTCTCTCCAATTTAGAGAGAAGGAAAAGGATGTTGTGGGGAACCACATCAAAGGCTTTACAGAAATCCAGACAGACAATATCCATAGCCTTTCCTTTGTCCACTGATGTAGTAACTCCATCATAGAAGGCCACTAGGTTGGTCAGGCAGGACTTGCCCTTGGTGAAGATGTGCTGGCTGTCTCTAATCACCTCCCTGTCCTCCATGGCTCCTAGAAGGCTCTGTTCCATGATCCTCCCAGGCACAGAGGGGAGGCTGAAGGTCGGTAGTTCCCAGGGTCCTCCTTTCTACTCTTTTACAAATGGATGTGATATTGCCCTTCTCCCAGTCACCAGGGACTTGCACATTGGCCTTCCTGACCCCGTATCTGTGCAACCAGGCAGTGTCCCTATACTCTTCCCAGGATACCTGTCCCTGCTTCCACTGTGCGTTTCCTTCTTGCCCTTTAGTTTGACCAGTAGGTCTCAACTCATCCATGCCAGCCTCTTGCCTTCCTTCCTTGATTTCTTACACATGAGGATGAGGAGCTCCTGTGCTCTACAGAAAGCAGCCTTAAAGATCTGCCAGCTCTGTTCTACGCCCTTGTCCCTGAGGGCAGTTTCCTAGGGGATCCTATTGACTAACTTCTTGAATAGCTAGAAGTTGGTTTTCCTAACATTCAGGTCCTGACGGTACTCTTTGCCTGTCCCAGCTCCCTCATGATCACTGCAGGTAGAGGTGATCACCTCATGTTCTGCACAAAATCGGGAAGTCCCAAAGAACTGCACGCATTGAGGGTTAGTATTATGAAGGAGAATTCATACAGAGATTGATACAACACTGAGCTGAATCAACTGCACATAAGTGTTGATGGAGAAAACTAGAAAGGGTACCAGATGTGCGCTAGACAGGGGACAGTTCTACAATCAACATGTAAGACTGCTCAGGTCAGAAAACTGCCTGTGACAAACCAAATGAAACCATAAGAAGATGAAAGTTTAAAACTGCAACTATGTATTATAAATAAAAGCAATAGCTGCTGAGAACTACTACGTAAGAAAGCAAGAACTGCAGGTAACAGGTAAGAAAAATCATAGGGGCATACCAGCTTCATGGCCAAGAAAAGTAAAGATGAGATTGACTGAAGTACTAAGGAAGCTTAGTAGTGATATGCATCGATTACAAGATAAAAACTGTTGAAATAATAAGAGAAATATGAAATATACTTCCATAGCTAAAAAAGCCAGACACTCATTAAGATGGAAAGATTCGGTTTTTATTCTGGCAGCAACTGAGAAGGTCTTACAACAATAGGTACCAATGAGACACTGTAAAACAAGCAAGACCAGATACCTTACATCAAGATGTTTTAAAAAGCTGCCCAAGGAACTACCTAAATCATTAAAACTGGCTTTCACTAAATCCCAAACACTGTATCTTAAGGATTTGAGGCAGAAGATACTTGCTAATATATAATCCTAAACAGGACAATGCATGTTAACTCAGCCTTACACTTATCCCAGAAAAAAATATGGAAAGGGCAGGAATAAGAATCAGCTCAGAGGAGCTAAGGGAGTATCACCAACATCAGCTCAAGAGAAACATATCCCACTGGTCCAGTATCTTACTGAGTGACAGCGGTAGTCCTGTTGGTAACACAGCTCTTATAATATAATCTGCTTGGTTAGCTGCAAGACATTTAAGCTGGTGCTACATAATGATTTCCTAAGGAAACACAAATAAGAGGACACCAACATGGCCAGGCAGTAAATGAATCACAGTCTTGCGTTTTAATGAGACTCAAAATACAATGCCATACAGCAAACTGTAACTGAGGACAAGCTTCTAACTAGTTCCAGTAAGATTCATTTTACTGTACTCTGCTATCTGATATTTTTATCTGTCACCTGGAAGGAAGCTAAAACATTGTTAACCAATGGCAGATGAAATAATCATATAGATGTGACAAAGAAGATGCATCATGAGTACAGTGATTTGAATCTTGAATTATCAAGATGTAAATGCCAGCAGAATCAGTATGAAAATACAGCTCTAGGACAGAGAAACTAGTCCATTCTTACAGAGTAGGGGACTCCATCCTCAGAGTCAGGACCTCTGAAAATTACCTGGGTAGGAAGGAAGGAACCCTGATGGATACTTCCCAAGTATGATTTTTTACTTCTCCTTGTAGCACTCCTGGTAAAGCTATGGCTGAAACTAGCTGCTTAAACTGTGTAATACTGCATTAGAGCAGAGTCTACAACATGCATGTACTTGGTAATGCCACAGCCACTGTTGAAATACTGTGTCCAATACTGCTGCCCACAATCTCAGCAGTATATTAATAAAGCAGAGGAGTTTCAGAGGGAAACAATAACTGAAAAGGCTAGGAAGTATCTCAAGGAGCACAACATATTAAACTGAAAAGAGCTGTGCCTCCATCACAGTCTATGGATCTGAAACACTCTCAAAGCTAGGTAAAGCAGCCCATGCTGAGCTCCTGGCTGCCTCATTGCAGGGTCTTCCAGCAGCCACTCCAGCTTGCTCTCAGGAACATCGGTTCCTGTCTGCAAGACTTCCTTCTTCCACAGGTGCCCATACAATGCCCACAGATTTGGTAATGAGTATCCAAAATAGCAAGTGAAGGTTTAAAACAGATGTGAATGCTAGAACTTGCAGCTGAACAACTTAAAACACCAAGATGCTTGTTTCTAGTGAATGTAATTAATCATTGGAATAATTTATCAGGTATAGTGCGAACCCCCTCTCAGAAAGGAATCAGTCTGGCTGGAAAATGCAGATGGGGAGAACAGCAGGCCATCACGATGGCTTCCAGCTTTTTAATTCCTAAGTGTCCATTCTAGCTTAAGGCCTCCTAGAACAGTATCAGTCTCACCCCTTCTGATACCATTTAGTCATTAGCTGTGAGTGTGGAGACCTGGAATATCAAACCCTGAGAAGAACATCTCAGCAGGGACGAGATGAGTATCTCCTTCAGTTCTAAGGCACCATTCATGTTCAGTTGGAAATCTGCTTGTAGGTCCGGCTGTCATTACATTAAGGCACTTTATGACATCGTAGTATTTCCTGAGATTAAACAAGAACCAAGCTTTTTGGTTTCATATCCTACATCAAATGATTTGGGATCAATCAAACCTCATCTCAACAGGACACAGGAAGTACCACACAGATAAAAGACAAACCATGTTTTTTTCTTTTAAAGAAAAATAAGAACAAACAGAAGCCCATCAACCTGTGGTAGACGTTGAGTCCTCCCAGGCTTTGAAAAGTATATAGTAGTAGTACAAACATGATACAAAACAGCATTCAGGACATTTCTAATCAGCAAAGTAGATTTACCTGACTCAGCCTTCATCTGAACGAAAAGCTGGGATTCTCAAAGGCTACAAAGGAACCACTTCTTGAGGTGCTGCTTAAAACCCCAGCCACAATGACCGTTCTGCCTGCCTACAAAATGCACAGACTCCAGTTTCAATCCCACAAGGAAAAACCTGGAGTGGCTTTACTGACTCAAATTAAATTAATCCAGCTTTTCAGCAATGCGAAAAAGTACCTCAAAAGTTAACTCGTTATTTCATGAGCCACTTTGACACACAGCAAGTCAGAAAGCCTTTACACAAAGCCACTTGCACCTTCATGCTACAAGCACAGGTCCTGCTCCCAAACTACTCAGCTTTCCGGCTTGTAAACTCAGCATATACATCATACAACAAACTGACTTTCAGAGTTGTTCTCCAGCTCCACCTCTAGAACTGACTTTTAAGATTTGATTGACAAGACAAAAACACCTTGTTGGCTTAGCCCTGACCTTTCTTTACAGTCCAGTGCACAGAGATTTCCCACATTCTTGTTCACAGCCTCTAGATTCCTCCCTGCTCCAGGTGCCGAGATCTGATTTTGCACATGTTTGTAAGAAGCCTCTGGATGTGGAGTGATTAGCTTCTAGACAAAAACTCGCTGTAGGGAGGATGATAGAGATATATTATGGCATGTTTATTTGCCAAGACCTTTGCAGTTATATGGTCATTTATTTTAGACAGAGGGAGATGTGGAATACCTAAAAAGTACAGGACATGAACTCATGCCTCCTCTGCATTCTCCAGTTCTTGCCATATTGCTGCCATATGCTGTTCCCAGATGACATCTGCCATCAAATGCTTCCATCAATAAGCTACTAAGGTGTTTATTTTAAATACTGAGTCCTTTTTTTTCCTCCTCCAAAGCCTTATGCAGAAGAACATCTCCAGTGGCAACTCAATAAAAGGGAAAGCACCACATTACAGTAATACATCCCAATGGATCTTGAAGATGTGGCCATTCCTTGAAACAAAGGAACAGCACTTAACACCTGATCCAAAGACTTCTGCAGTCAATGGAAAGACTTCCAGTGTTTCAGCAGGCTTTGGACCAGGGCCCTTCATCTGGGGAACATACTCTGAAAAGGCAGAAAAATGGAAAGGTCTGACTGTATCACATGTATAGCTGGCCTTGTGGCAAGTGTGCATGAGGCAGATTCCTTTCCCAATTCCACCTCAACAAATACACTTCCAGCCAGAGAAAATTACGTCTCCCAATAAAGTGGGTAAATAATAGGACTGCAAGTTGGAAGGAGGTAAGTTCCTTCAGACATACAATATTGTTCTAACTCAGGCTCTGGCCACCTTTATAAATATCTCTTTTTCCAGATCCTTTTGGGGCTCTTTTCTTCCCTGATTAGCAAGGGGAATGTGAAATTTCCAAATACATGGCTCCCAGCACCAGGGAGAAACGTAAGCTGGGATGGGGGAACCCAGATTCAAAGAGGGAGAGAAAGCTCAGACCCCCAACAATTGTTCTGAGTCCATCCTAACTAGGCCAAAGCTGCTCCCTTAGCTCCCTTCTTTCCAAGCTGTGTATCCTGGCAAGGAGCCTTCTCAGTTCCTATCACACCACCAGATCAGAACAGCAGATTTCTTTTCAATAAAGCTGGAACTTGTTCCTCACTCACAAACCTACAGGTGTATGTATGTCTGCTGCAATAGCCTGCCATTATACACTAGGTAAACATGCAGCAAGCACAAGAAGTGAAAAGTACAGACATCTTTCAGCGTACCTCAATGTTGAAATGTGGCTACTCCACTTCCAAAGCGTGCATCGGGAAGAACTTGAGTACAGAGCAGTGATTGGCACAAGACATATACAGCCCTTGCACAGCCAGGGAGGCCCAGAGCCAACTACAGGAGCCAAGAAAACTGGGCTGGATCTCTCAGAGATTGGGTGAGAATGAGAACACCAAGGATCTGCATGGATCCAACACACCTCCAGGCAGTTTAAAACATCACATCATGTTGGAGAATACAATATATTGCTTATCCTTCCCTGAGGGCAGACATCCCCTATACCCCCTGAAGGCATTTGGATGAAGAAATTAACTGCCAGTGCTGCATGCGTCAGTGGATGTGCCCCCTGGTATCCACAAATTTTGCTCCCTAGGTATTCATTAAGTGCTGTTTTGGTATTATCCAGCCAACTGGATTTATTCCTGCACCAAACCCTCAAAGCACGAAGGCCAGGAACTGCGATGCAGAGGGCAGAGCTGCCCCTCCATCATCACGTTCTTCGGGTACCAGAGGCATCTCTCAGCTTTGTTAACCTGGACCACCCCTGGGACCAAGCAGAGGTGTCACAAGGAGCAAAAGCCTGCCACAGACTCTGGTGAACGCCAGACCCCAACCTTGCTGTCCCTGCTAGCCACTTCTGCCATTATTTCAACCTATTGCTGCAGTACGTTTGCTGCATCGTTTTACACATCACTTGGAAGATGGAAAGTTCTGCGGGTGTTGTTCTTCATAGTGCACATCTGGGCAATCCTAGAGATCTTTATGACTGCTTGCCCAAAGCCCCCACAAAGTCATTTATTAGGCAATGCCCACTCAAATAAGCAAGGTCTACTCTCTTTTCAATTTGGGGTACCAGACACCATCTGTAAACACAACTGTGGCTCAGGATTAGTATCACTGTGCAGAAGCCTTCACCAGGTATGGAATTGCTAGATACTCTCCAACCACTTCAAAGGAGTCAGTGCTGCCAAGATCTATTAGTTTTTCAGCCTCTTGAGTACGAAGTCCACCCACAGGGTTGGGGGGTTTTGTGGGTTGTGTTTTTGGTTGTTTGTTGCTTCTTTTCTCCCATCCCAAGGAATGAAAACCAGCATGCTGTGATTCCCATCTTCCACTCATCACTATGGTAAAGACAAGTTACCACCGCTATTTCAGCTGAGCTAGCTGCCGGATTGCAACTGCTATACATAAACAAAAACAAGTAGGAGAAGGAGCTTCAACAGGCTTAGCTTGCCTTTTAAAATTCAAGGCAAAGGTTTAGAAAGAGGTGAAAACACTGGATAGTAACACTAGCCAAACAGGGAAAAATAGCAAAGTTGTAAGCCTGAAAAACTGAAATGGAAAGAATGACAGATTTACTGCTGCATTTGATGCACATAACCACTGATAGACTCTCCCCAGGAAGTGTTGAAATTACCATCACTGAAATGAATCCAGAAGCTAAAAATTAAATTATCTTTCCCAGAACATTCCAATTTGGGCTTTGGCAACAACAGATGTTTTAATGCTCTTAAATATATGCACGCGTGTGTGTGCACGCATGCACACACGCACACATATACTTTAGTACAGTATCCTCTTTCAAGCAAGACCTCCCTCTTAGTTTTCACGAAGTCAGACTGAACTCACGGTCCTTCTGCAGTCTTTTCTTCAAAGTCTCTGCTCAAATGCACAACTGTCAGATTAAGCAACCCATAAGGAGTCTTACAGCAGCTCCGAGTTATGAATGAATGGTTATTTGTGGACTCGCCTGTCAAGACAGATGCGGTATTTGTCAGTGCAGTGTGGGTTAGATATGGTAGGAAGGAGCCAAACAAGCAAAGTGAAAGGTCAGTATCACAACGTTTCCCTTTCCCCTGCCTCAGTTTGCCTAGAAGGATGCCAGAGCTTTTGCTGAAGTGTAATACAGTAGCCTATATTCATGCAACATACCATGTTTACTTGAAAAGCAATATAAGAATACACTAGTATACATAAGGAAAGCAAAAGCAAAATGAGTGCAGAGAGAAAGAAGAACAGGAGCATTCTTATGCAAGAAAGCTACAACAGAGGGACAAAGCCAAAACTGGCAGCAAACAACACATCTTTAGTAATTTGGTGATACTTGAATCAAGACCACCCTGTGGAAGTTCAAACACAAGCACTGTTTTTCTTGTAATAAAATGTAGTACTATGAGGTTAATTCATGTTGGAAGGGACATCCAGTTCAACCTCCAGGGTCAGCTGTGAGATTGCTTCATCTTTTATGAAGTTATTTATAATAACCTGAAGTCAACATCACACTGTGCTAGGTCTTGTATAACAATAAAAAGAGGCTCCTGCCCTAAAGGGGTCTCAGTGGGAAAAAGCTCAGCTCTACAGTAAGGATCCATATGTCAATGAGCATCACACATGAATTAAAAGGAACCCTCGCTCACCGTCCAGATTAAAACCTGAACAAGGGAGAGATGTTCTCAAGATCCTCCCCACACTCTCAGCCATGAATCTGCTGCAAGCATGCCTGTGAGGTCTAGCATCTCCTGGAAACCAAATGTGGATGCCAGAGAACCCAAACAGCAACACAAGATGTATCTCTACAGTGAAAGAGCAGTCTCTCTGTGCTACCCATCCTGTGCCTAAACCCATCCCACCTGACCTCCTCCATGAGGAGCCCGGAGCTTCCCAAGCAGCATGCATGAACAGCCATGTGGTTGGCTCCCTCTAGGAAACACAGCTGGTTTAGACAACACTGTGCTACCCAAAGAGGCAACTTCTCTGCTCTGGACCAACTTGCAGAGCACCAGAAACATGTATAAGCCTGCTCACCAAACAGGTCTAACGAAGTCAGGACTAGCACTTTATTTCTCCAGGGCCAATCCTGTGCCATTCAAACTAGGAGAACCACAGTACTAAACAGGCTCATGAGTCATTCATACATTCAAAAACAACTGGTCACACTGAGAGGAGGTGAAACAATGCTTCACATTAAGGGCTTTTTTAACTCCTCATCCTCTTGCCCTGGACATATCTTTGAGTTTCTCCTCTGTAGCTTGGAGCTGATGTCCTGTACAGTTGGGTATCCAGCTACAATCACTTAACAGCAGAAGGACAGAAAGGACAAGCACTGGGGAGCTGTTTTAAGAGGAAACATAGCTGCTTTGGGTAAGACCACTACAGGAAGCCAACTGACAGCGATGCTGGAGCTAGGAACCTACTAGTCAACACCACAGATTGAAAGGGAAACAAGCAACAGCCTGTGGTTGAAGGCAGGATGCAAACTTTCCCTAAACAGCAACCAAACCAAACTTCTTAGTCGCAACAAATCAGCAGAAACACTGGTAACACAGTATTACAGTAAATAATACCTGGGGAGCGTATCATCCTCAAGCTAAAAACTGCCTGCTTGAAAACAAGCAGCATGTGGTTTCACAACAGGAGCGGAAACATTTGTGTGTCTTCATTCATGACTTGTTTTGTCACCGTACCCTGGGGTTCCTCTCTTTATCTGTAATACAGGAGCAGTCTAGCGCAGACACTAAAGGCAGAAGGCGGCAGCTGCCCAACAGGGTCAGTGTTGTTTGGCACCACCGGAGTACTGAAGAGCTGCATCCTTCCTCTCTAAAAACCCCTGTAAAGCATTTCCTTCTCACTGGGTTCTGATGCCCAAATGACAGGTTTCAATGCAGTGACAGGGATTTGAACTGTCTGGCTTTGTTCATCCCTGCAAATGCATCACAAAGGGGGCCCTGATTTGGGAAGCTAAGGCGGACATATAGCCTTAATGTTAATGACTCCATTCACGTGTGCAAAGCTCTGCTCAAGTTTCAGAACCGTGCTGAAGAAGCTCACACCAAGGATGACAGCCCCAAGTTCTCATTCATCTTCAGTGCAGGCAGGACTCTCAAACTGACAGCAAAACATTGGAAGTGGTAATTCCAAAACAGCACAGCCATCCTGATGGCCACTACTGTTCTCACACAGTGTGCCAAGGATGAGCAAGGCTAAAACCAGCAGCTAACGGAAGAGGATGCTCTGCTTTCTTCACACTACCACCTACTCATATCCAGTCCTGCAGTTAAGTGGAACCAGCAAGAGTGGTGTGAGCTCTTGGCACTCCTGCTTGTGGCTAGAGATGTGCAGAAGACAAGGGCACACTGCCAGACAGGTCTCCGAAACTGTACAATGCACATGCACCAGAGCATGTTATTTGATTATCCCTCTTAGTATATAGGGGACTACTGTCCAGAAAATTACCCTGCCCCTGTTTAAAGCCATTTGCAATTTCCTGGTTTTTTTCCATTACCACCTAGGAAGACTGCAGTAAGTGCCATTCATGAGCAAGAAGAATTCCCACATCTCTCTTCAGGGAATCCTTTGCACTGCTTTGGGTCCTCTCTGCAAACCAGACAGTAAACCTGGCAAATGCCTCCTACAGGAGGTGCTCAGAGCACAACCATACGGCCAGCATAGTTAGGAGGCTTTAAAATAAGGTAATTCCTTCCAAGACCACTTCCATATCATCAACAACATAGGAAACCCTGAAAGATTAAGTTCTGTGTTCTGCTAAATGCAAATGCACACAAGCCACTCCGGTGTTAACATCATGGTACTGATGCAGTCAGTGCCAGCAGACATGAGCACAGCGTTCCTGCACGAGCAATTCTGGTGCCCTGAAGACAAGGAGCCCACATACATATAATTGCTGGTAAATCGAGTCCTTGTTGATAAAGTAGAAGCATGTCATTGTGCCCAGCCAGTTTATAATGTTGTCTTTCATGAGGCAAATATTCAGCAGAATGACGGGTCTATGTAAAGCAATATTCATGGTACTGAGCTCCTGAGAAGACTAATCCTACCACTCGGTGCAGGCTGGAACCTGTGGAAGCTCCTTCATGCTGAAGTATTTTAGAGTCCATGCAAACCCAGGCCCAAAGCCCAGAAGTGTGATTTCTTAGGCTACTGAGTACTTAGAGACCTCTCTCTCAAGAGCAGCTCTTGACCATGATAAAAACTGCCATGAATAAAGATGATAGAACTGGGCCCCAGCCCCGCAGCATACAGTGTTGCCTGTTCTTCTCAAGCATCCCAGTTATGTATCAGTATTACAATTCACAACCCTTAACTGTGCTTGCACTGGATTCCTGTTTATTATCAGTACAATGGTGATTATCACCCAGCCTCCAATAAATAACTAGCTTCCTATTCAGGCCCTAGATAATCAATGAACTGGTAAATAACCAGCTTCTAACGTGATCCACCTTTTACAGGAATCAGTATTAAACCATCTACTCAGGTAACTTTGCCTAGGCACGGAACTCACGAGATCTCCTCCTGATGTGCTCAGCTCCTATAGCCCAGCCCCTTTTCAAACCACTCTATAAACCAGCTCAGTTTCCAGCTGCCAACTGGACTTGGGAGAGATTCAGACCTTCAGTACCTAACCCACGCCGTCGGGAGCACAACAGAGGCAGGCGTGCCTGACAGACAGAAGCTTTTTGGTTTTTCCAAACCTCTCTGTAGTACTTTTTTCCGCTGCTACTTTTCACATCTGTTGGTTTTGGGTCCGGCAGTCCCCGCCTCACTGAATTTCCACATACACTCTGACTCGATGCGTCCTTAACCTCAAACGGACTGTCAAGCCAGATGCCCCCTTAACTTCCTCAGTACAAACTATCGGTAAACCTTAGCATAACTTCACTTTGAGCCTTAAACTAACAGCATGTGAAAAGATTAATATGAATAAATTCAAAACTAATCAGATCCCTTCTTTAAATGTTGACACAGTATTATTTATATCCCATAAATACCTTCTTGACTAAAATTCATCCCAGGAGATTGGCATCTTGCCAGTTCTATTCATATTTACTGTATTTATACAGTACAGTTGGCCAAGGATAATATTTAAGACAAAATATGCCTTAGGGTATATACAATATCTCTTATAGTTTTCCTTTTAAATCTCCTCATTGCTAAAAATATTTAGCCTGAACTTTACAGAATGCCCCACAAAGACCTATCAGCGATCCGTAGTGATATATTGCTGACTATGAGTGTAATTAGAGCATATTTGTAATACTTGGGTTGTAGTCAATTACTGCATGCTAACAACTTGTGGTAAAACCGGAACCGCTGCTCTTTCCCATGCCTGCCTTCCAGCAGCTTTTGACCTCCAGTGCGTTCACACCGATCCCCTTCTCCCCTCGGATGCAGCAGAATCCATAGAGTTAAAAATACTCGCTCCAAGACGTCTAGGAGAAAGCGCCAGAGCCGCGCTTTCCATTTCTTCCTTTAGAACGTGGTGGAGTGATTTCTGCCCTTCTGTCTTTTTTGGAAAGGTTCACTTCATCCAGCATAACTAGAGAGCAGTGGAAAAACAGTTAACCTACTTACTCTGATGTTAGCGACAGCCCTCGCACAGTAGTACTGGATCGGCTGCTTAACCACCCCTCCGATCCCAAACGTCTGATGCACTCTGTTGGTAGATACCTGCAATCTCCTTTGCTCTTCCAAACCCTTCCTATCTCAGGAATCTGGCCTCTCTGACAAGGTTTTAAAAATAGATCCTCTTTTGTCAGCACCATCCAAGTCACACACCACAGATATTTTAATTTTCTGGAAAGTATGCGGCTGCATTTTGGACTATTGGTTCTTTGTAGTTTGCTCACGTGAGGAAATAGGACAGACATACTCAGAGGGGGTGCATTTTACAACTCTCTGCTCCAGGCTCAACTCCAAAAGCCAAGGCACTGCTCTCGGTGCCCCTAACCTCTGCCCATAGGGGCTCATGCCTCTCTGCTCAGGGCACGACCTGGTAGGTCTCAAGGGCAGAGCACTGACTTCCACCAAAACCACCAGCAAACTACTACAGTATTCCAACGTGGAAAATAGGCACGATGTCTGTGTTCTCACTATGAATTACACTGAACCTCTCTGCTCATACCCACTTGGCTCCAAATAGCTTTTTTTTTTTCCCCCTTTTTAAACTATTTCTTCCCCGAGGGTAACAAGGGTGGAGTGTATTTATCATGGCTATTAAGGATGGTGCCATAATTACAATAATATAATGGCTCTGACTGCCAGGATGTCCTGTACCTGATGCTGTCATTTAAGAATAAAGGAAGAAAGCGGAGGCAGCTGCACTGAGCACGGGCTTTGGATACCTTGGCTGGCATCCTAAGACTATCACATGCAAGATGGAGCAAGCCCCAGAGCTACAACTTGCTAACCTAAAAATAAATAAGGGGAAAATGCAATTAGAAACTCTAGGATAAAGTTACCAAGATGGCTGCATTATCTATTTAAGCAAGAGGTATGTGCTTTTCAGAAACAGGCAGCAAGAATATAGGGCATCAAGTGGGGGGGGGAGGGAAGAGAGGGGAAAAGGGAGCTAAATGAAAGGAGTAGGAACTGGGCTTTGGATATGTGAACAGTGAAGTTATTTTCTGCTTCTGGTATTTCACTTTCCTCGGTGTGGTGATGAGCTAGATTCTTTTAAGGGAGTGCGGTGCTTTTTCTGGTTTTCTCTTCTATACACTTAACCTTCACTACCAAACCAAAAAGGCACGTCATTGTGATTATCAATCACCCTAAGTGCATTTGGTCAGCACGTCTGTACTTCTTTCACCTTCTTTTTTTATTTTCTCCTCTTTTTTTTAGTGCAAAACGTGGCATAGATCACCAGAAGGTCGTTAAAAACAGCAAAAGGCAGACGGGCTGAGACAGGTTCCAACAACCGAGGCTACCCAGAAGGGAAAACTTTGGCTGTACCTGAAGTGAAAGCGCCCATGAATTGAAAGGAGAGGCTGGCTGAAGTGGGAAGAGGAGGGAGGACCTGTATGTCCTCGTAGCACCAACGCTAGCAGCAACTGGTCTACGGGACAACAGAAGGGGCACAGGCAGAAGAGGAGCCCGTGACTTCTTTTTTAAAGACCTCCTTTTCTTTTCAGTTATGGAGAGATGGAAACCTGCCCGATCCAGACACTCCAAGGGAAACAACAGCAGTGGAAAGATATTGGCTCTTTTCGGAGGCTGCACAGGGGGCTGTGGGGGAGCTAAACCCAGTGCTGGGAAGGGCTCAGGACCCTGCCCAGGTACATGGTGGTGGAAAGCAGAGGCACCTTTGGGGACTCCTGGGTGATTTCAAAGGGGACGAGGGGACCAGGTGACCCTCAGACCCTCCCAGGCATAGCAATACCCACCACACAGACGATGCTAAGGACAAGGGCAACCCAAGCAAAGGCGACACAACACGATGCACAGGGCTGCTGTTTGAAGGCGCTGGGCACTGCCAAGCCTCGGGGCCGCAATTAACACACACATGCACCAACACAGAGGACTTACTTTCGGGGTAAAAAGGCTGCATGTCTATTTTGTAAACTTCTTTGGCATAATACTCCTCGTCGCTCCTCTCCCTCTCGCAAGTGGCAGCTCTGTGGTTGGCTTTCTCTTGCAGCAGGTCCCTGGTGCTGTTGTAGATGGAGATGACCTCCGGGGGCACCTCCTCGGGCTCGGGGTACTCGTCCGGGGGACTGGTGAGCTTCAGCTTGCTCAAAATCTGCCCCCGGATCGCCTCGATCCTCTTGCGCATAAACTGATCCATGTCGAGGGTGCTGCAGGTAGACAGGCTGAAAGCCACGGTGGCCAGATCCACGGTGAGAAACACGCTCAGGAGATAGCAGTGCATTTTAAGTGTTTAAATACAGCGCCCCCCCGGGAAAAAAGTGACTTTAACAACGAACAACAACAACTACGGGGAAAAAAAAATGATTGGAAAAAAAAAAAGAAGGAATTAAAAAATAAAAAAGGGGGATGTGTGCAAACAAAGGGAAGATCTGCAGACAAAATGCAGTTCAGAACCGGACTGCAAGGGCGACTTGCAATCGAAACGCGTCAGTGAAAAAACCAGCAATAATAATTACAATAATGAA